AACTCCTGACCACAGGTGATCTACCACCCTCAGCCCCACAAAGTGCTGGGATTATAGGCATGAGACCCTGTGCCCAGCCAGTTATATTAAGTTTTACTCTGATTTTAGTTATTTATTTTCTTCTTCTAGCTTTGAAGTTCACTTTTTCTTGTGTCTCTAGTTCCTCTAGGTATGATTCCATATTGCTAATCTCAGATCTTTTTAACTTCTTTAGGCGTTTAATGCTATAACTTTCCTCTTAACACTGCTTTTGCTGCATCTCAGCTATTTTGGTGTGTTGTATCTTTGTTTAATTTGTTTCAAATAATTTTTTGATTGTTGCCTCAATTTCATTGTGTATACGAAAGTCCTTCAAAAGCAAGTTGCTTCATTTTCATGTAATTGTGTGGACTTGAGAGATTTTCTTGGTATTAACTGATGTTTTTATTCCACTATTATCTGAGAGTATGCTTGGTATAATTTCAGTGTTTTAAAATTTACTGAGACTTGCCTTGTGTCTGAGCATGTGGTTGATTGTAGAGCATGTTCCATGTACAGATGATAAGAATGTATATTTTGTGGTTATTGGGTAGGGTGTTCTATAGATGTCTCTTAGGTCTGATTGGTCAAATGTCAATTTTAAGTCCAGAATTTCTTTGTTGGCTTTCTGCCCTGATGATCTAGCTAAAACTGTTAGTGATATGTTAAAGTTCTCTACTTTTATTATATGACTGTTTAAGTCTTTTTGTTTTATGATTCTGGGTGCTCTCATGTTGGGTGTATGTATTAGGATAGTTAAATCTTCTTGTGAATTGAATTCTTTATCATTACATAATGTCCTTTGTCCTTTTTTACTGTTGTCAGTTTAAAGTTCATCTTATCTGATATACAGATGGTGACCCCTGCTCTCTTTTGTTCTCACTGTGTGTGATAGATATTTCTCCAACACTTAATTTGAGCCTATGGGTGTCATTTATTGTGAGAGTGGTCCCATGAATACAGCAGATGGTTAGTTATTTTATTTAACTTTCCATTCTGTGTCTATTAAGTGGGTTTTATAGACCATTTATATTAAAGGTTAATATTGATATGTGGGATTCTGATCACATCACGATGTTGTTAGCTGGTTGTTTTATAGTCTAGATTATATAGTTGCTTTCCTGGGTATGTGGGTTATGTACTTAAGAGTGTTTTTGTAGAAGTAGTTGTCATTCTTTCATTTCCATATTTATAACTCCCTTAAGGATCACCCCAATGGTGAGTGCAGGCACCAGCCCTGATGAAGTTCTGTGTGTGGGGGAGGGGGAGGGGCAGAGGTAAAGGTGAGCTGCACTGGCCCTTCATGCTAGACAGGCAGGAAAATGATGTTTCTCTATCTCATCCCTGTTCCAGGGTTTCATGATTTCTAGTTCAGGCATACACTGTATTCTCTCTCCAAACTACAATGTGATTTAGAGCCATGGGGAATGATTTTGTGACTTTCTGTGGGAATATTTTCAGGGCAGAACCTCATCACTCAGCCTACTATGGGTAGCTTTGTATTTCCCTTGTTCTTCAATATGGCAGCACTATTGCTTCTTGTAAGCAGGGAGCTCCACCTATGGGCCAATGTGGGTGGGTGTTGGTTGTGATGGTGTCAGCTGGGTTGCCCAAATCTCAGGCCCTGGGGAAAGTGGTCATATTCATATATTGACAGAGTACATTAGTAATATAAAATATACTGCATAGTATATGTTAATAATATACATTATATATTACAAATAATATATAATATAGAATTGTATCATATAAACAAAATTTGGCCGGGTGCGGTGGCTCAAGCCTGTAATCCCAGCACTTTGGGAGGCCGAGGCGGGTGGATCACGAGGTCAAGAGATCGAGACCATCCTGGTCAACATGGTGAAACCCCGTCTCTACTAAAAATACAAAAAATTAGCTGGGCATGGTGGCGTGTGCCTGTAATCCCAGCTACTCAGGAGGCTGAGGCAGGAGAATTGCCTGAACCCAGGAGGCGGAGGTTGCGGTGAGCCGAGATCGCGCCATTGCACTCCAGCCTGGGTAACAAGAGCGAGACTCCGTCTCAAAAAAAAAAATAAATAAATAAAATAAAATAAAATAAAAATAAAATAAACAAAATTTGATGTTATCTGTCATAAATGTATTTAAATATATCAGTGTAATATATATTTAATAAATATATATGTAAAATATGCATTATATATATGTACATCATATACTCAGGCATATATGACTTATGTAGAGGTACAATTTTTTAATTGTAAAAATGTTCTTCAAATGAGAGGAAAAACTTCATTAAAATTTTAAAGGCAAGTCACTATTTTATGGTGTTTTAATATGTAAAGGACACCTCTGACTCCCCAGATCAGAAATACTCAAACTTAAGGGTGTACTCAGCTCTTTGAAGTTACAAAGATATATCCCTAGCAATCCCAAGGGGCCACCATGTTAGAGCATGCATATAGCAGCAGTGAGGCTTCTAGATATTTAGACCTAAAATAGGCAGTCTGAGGGAACATAAAAAGGAAATTAGATGAGCTTGATCATCCTGCTCTATCACATTAGTCTCTCTCTTTCTATGTCTAGAAGATTTCTTTTGTTACAAAGAATTAGTAAAGTCTGATAATTATTAAAATATGAGTGTATTAGGGTTCACCAGAGAAACAGAATTCATTAATGGGTGTGTGTGTGGGTGTGTGTGTGTGTATGTATATGTATTTATTTCCTGGAATTATTTCATGGAATCAGCTGATGTAGTTATGGAAGCTGAAAAGACCCAAGATCCTCATTCAGCTAGTTGGAGATCCAGGAGAGACAATGGTGTAGTTACAGTTCAAATGCCAACAGTTTGAGTCCAAAGGCAGGCAAGAACTGATGTTCCAGTTTAAGGCAATCAGGCAGGAGGAATTCCTTCTTACCAGAGGGAAAGTCAGCCTTTTGCCTCTTTAGGACCTCAGCTGACTGAATGAAGACCGCTTACATTAAGGAAGATAATCTGTTTTGCTCAGTCTACTGATTCAAATGTTAATCTCATCCAGAAACACCATCATCAAATATGCTGATATTAATGCTTGATCAAATATCTGGGTTTGCTCTGGCTCAGTCAAGTTGACACTTAAAAATAACCATTACAATGTAAATTAATATATGGGAAAATTTAATTCTAAAAATATTTCTTCACTCCAATTCTTTAGATTAAGCAGAACCATGGAAGAAATTAGTTTACAGATCGTTCTTGGTACATTGATAGTAATGTGTGTCCTAACTTGAGGCTACTTGAGTTTGGAGAAACCATGTGGCAGCATTCAGATCAACAATGATGAAATGCTCCATAAGAACAAGATGAAATTTCAGGGACTGATTCCATATGATAACATTGCCTATAGGCTAGCATTAAGGAAACAGATTTTTCAGTCAAGACGATTTTCCTTCTCCTCTGTTTATGTTATGACATATTCCCTGTTTTTTTTATTCAGCAATAAAAACTTTCTCTGTGAGGCCTATAGAATCTGAGTACATAACCAACTGAACAGGAGCCAGCAGCTAACCACAACAATCTTCCAATACCTTTCACAGTAATGTAATTGCTGATGTTTCCCTGGAGCAAATTTTGCAGATGCAAGATTGTTTCAATGGCGTGACCAACAGTATCCGAGTAATAATAACCAGAAGAGAATAGTGTTTTATAATGCAATAGTAGCCTGCATCTGGTTCTGAGTTTTCCACTGCCTGGTACAAGCAAGAAGAAAACAAGTGTAGCTCTAATTTAATACATAACATCTTGTGGACTAATAATTCTTACTTTTCATTGCAAATGCATAGAATGTTTCATGATGGGTGCCATTAACAGTACAAAGATTGTAGTGTCAGTGTCAGAAATGGTAATACAAATAGGTAGATGAATATTTTTCTACATAGTACAAAAAATACAAAGGAAGGCAATGGAAAATGCAGTGAATTGTCTGTGTATGTGTATGTCTACACATGCTTGTGTAAAATGTAACTCTTGGCTTCAGGATTAATACTGCCTTGTGAAAATGCCTGTAGGACAAATACTTATCTGAGGACTCTAAAATCCTCATGAAAACAAGATAATTAAGTAGCAGCTATAGTAGGCTATTGGTGGCAGGATGCACAAAAAAATTACAATGCAGTTGTCCTAAAGTACATTTTCACTTGGTCTGCCAAACTGACAGGCTGCAGGAAAACAATGCACAAAATACAAGGCTTGTGATTATGTCAGGGTGATGAGGTTCCATCTGAGGTCCTGGGATAAGAATTTTCTTGAAATGGTAGCTGTGGCTTCAGAACAAAAAATGAAAATCTTCTCATATTCCCAATGTGAAGGGGATCACTGCCATAGAAGTTTTTCCTATCCCACGTGTGTATGGATATGCCAGTGATGTCAATATTATCTAAGAATAAATTCATGCTTTCTGGGATATGCATCTTACATAATTTGGTATATTTTATTTTTTAAAAAAGGAATATAAAATACAACTCTCGAAATTAAAAAAGAAGGTACTCAGTCAATGTATTTTTAAACTCTCCCATATTTCAGAGGACCCTGTAAAATTGAAGGGTTCAGAAACTTAAGCTATATTATCTTCATGGTGATTATATTTCTGGTACTACTACCTTGATGACTTCCTGCCTTACAGAATTTTAAGGCAAATGAACTACCTACGTAAAACTAATCTTCATTTTTGTATAAGGAATGAATATGATAAGACTTATTTTAAAATTATTTAGACTAGAAAGGGCATTGATTCCTAGTTTCCTATGGTTCTTCAAGAAAGGTAGGAGGTATTTTGAATTTTAGTACAAGATATACAGTGCTGATGTTGAAGTAATAACAAATAAATTTTAGTAGTGTTCACGTAGCTGTATGTGTTTGCAATAATAGCAAAGAAAACGTATATTGCTACTACATGCAGAGTGCTGTTCAAAGTCTTCATATGTATTAATTTATTATTCATATTAATTTATTTTAACTCCCACAGGCTATTGGTTTCACCCTTCTAATATCCTGTTTGAAGAAGAAATGGGAGCACAGAGAACTTGGTAAGTTTTCCCTGGTCAGATGGCTCTGAAGTGATAGACCCTAGACATGAACTCAGGAAGTCAGCTTCAGTCTCTGTGCTTTTAACTACTTCCCTCTATTGGCCTTTCTCCCTTTGTGCTATATTGGTCTGGTGCCCAGTAGAAGGCCAGCATTACCTGTGATTGTTTGATGGCCGCCAGAAGGCTAGCACTTTCCTTTGTGCAATGATGGTCTGGTATGTTCCAGGAGGCCAGTGTTCTCTCTGTGTAAAATAAAATTTGCCAACACTCTTCAGATATCAGACATTGAGGATTGGCATAGAAGCTTATAAAATAACTCAGTTAAAGAAGACAAACTAACTAATAAATATGTGCCCTTATTTCTTTGTCAAACAAGGCCTTGGAAGTTAGATTTCTCATATCCCTTGCAGTTCTTGTGTTCTGACAAAAAGTATATATTCTATTGAAGCTGTAGTTTTGAAAGCAAAACTTGGCATAAATGACCATATTCTAAAGGTATATAAGACAATGAATAATGTTTCCTAATAGAGTGGGCTGTGCCACTTGAATGGATATATTGCTACTACGATTTATTAAGAGCATACTATTCTCCTGTAACATTCTAAGTAAACTTTGTAGTAGTAAAAACTACTAATTCATTTAATCCCAAGGTGATCTTATGAAGTAAACACTATTCTCAGCCTTATTCGATAAACAAAGTTGTGGCATAGAGGAATTAAATAACTTTTTTAAAAATTAACAAGTTAAAAATGGAGAAACCAGAACTCAGACCCAACCTGTCTGGCTGTAGAAGGTGCTTTCTTAGCATCTATACTACAGTGTGGAAGTGTTTATTCAAATGAATGGTATGATGAGAGTAGAAGGGAAGTTGAAAGTGGTTAGTGGTGCTAGAAAAGAGCATGGGATGCTGCTGAAGGCTAAGGTTGCTTCGTATGGCTGTAAGGAAGAAATATTTTCTTATAGAGTGTTGGAGGTGCTGCAAGGAAAACAACACACTAAACGTTCAGTGAACGACTCCACAGAAGTGGCGGAATAGGAATAGCAAAGAAATAATAATGATTTAACATTAACCCATTAATAATGATTTAATATTAATATTATCTGATAATATTTAATATGTATTTATTATGTACCAAGTATGCTTCTAAATGCTTTATATCTATTAACTGAGTTTATTTCTCCCAAAGACACTTTAAGACAGATATTATTAAATATCCTTATTTTACCAGAAAAGAAACCGTTACGTGAAACAATTTGCTCAAGTCATACTTGTTAGGTAGCATTTTTTAGCATTAAAAGAACATATTTACTACGTACTAATTGCTGTGGTAAGGGCTGAAAACAAAGGTATGAGAGCAAAGGCATAAAATTATAGTAAGACAAGAGAGACAAATGCATAATTGGAGGATATCTAATATAATATAAGCCTGCTTTTTAATGAAGGAGTCAGAGTTAGTCTAGCAAAGAAGATGGGGGAAGGGTCTTTCATGAAGACAGGGCAGCATGAGTGAAGGAAGACAGATAAAAGAGAATTGCTTTGTAGAGGATCAGAAAGTGACTCAATGTGCATTAGCTGAAGTGAGCTGCTTCTGGAAAGTAGGCTAGAAGTACATGTAGGGTGTATATTGAGGAAAACTTGTGAGCCAACTGTAGTAACACAAATGGTTTTAAAAGGCTTTGGGGAGCTGTTTATTGATTTTATTCAAAGTGACAATAATGATGCCTAAATGAAGGAGGTCTTGAGGAAGGAAATGGGGTAGAACACGAGATCAAAAGATGTTAGGAGGATAGAGTTGGGTGGACTTTGTTATGAATTAATTGAATGTGCGAATAAAGGGAAGGGGTAAAATATGAGTTGAGTTCCTGTTTGGGTGATGATGCTGCTGGCAAATGAGGGTGGGGTGGAGAAAGCAGATGAGGACATCTTTGTGGATGTATGGAGACCAGAGGTGTTTGGGGGGGTACCCAAATGGAAACATTACAAGGCAGCTGACTCTTGAGATATGGAAATAAGAATGACTGGTGTAAAGGTCACCATTCTATAGGGTCAACATGAGAGCTGTCACAGAATCTACATAGACTGAGAAGAGAACAGAGGATGGGGCAAAGAAGGTCCCAGTGATGAGGAGATAACTAGGGGAATTACTGAAAAAAAGAAAGAAGAGAGTAATAATCTCAGGAACCAGAAATTGGTGTGAAAGTCAAAACATCCACTGATTCAGTAAGTAATTTTGTATGAAGGTCAAAACGTTATTTATCTGAATTGCTAGATAGCTATATAAATTTTACACCAGTATTTGGAGACAAATGAATTAAAAGCAATGAATTTAACTACACGGTATGATTTGGGGTGACAATTCAGTATAACAGTTGTTAATGTTCCGTATCCTATGTCTTCAAAAATAATTTTTGATATATTTAATTTGCAAAGATAAGTAAATATACAACAAAGTACAAATTAAAGTTACTTTGCTCTTTATTAACTTTGCATTTATATATTAGACAAGCTAACCTTGCCAAATATTAAGTGTATATGTATGTGTTTAATAGGAACAATGTTTATGAACAAGCCCACTAAAACAGCTCATTTTGGTTGTAAAACAAATATGAAATAATGCTCTCAGTGACTCTGCTTCGAGTGTGAATAGTTACATGCCTGTGGTTTGCGGAGACAGTAAAAGATGTTTTATGTTGGGTCTGTTTATACTGAAGATTTGCTAGTTCTTGGGCAAGTATAAGGAGACACATTAATCTGAATATTCTATCCTTCATAAAGCCATTTAGGCTATTTATAAGCTCTCTTTCCTAGTGGGAAATAGCAGATTATTCTATTCAGTATTTTTCCAGTAAAACTGACCTATTTAAAATTTTCCCAATAAGTCCTTTTCCCTCCTGCTGTAAGGTTTCTTTGCTAAATTGAACTGGATTTATTTGTGGAAGCCATAATGTTAGCATTCAGCTTAATAGTCATAAATGATTTTATTGAGTTTGGATAGGAACTTTATTAAGTTTAAAATATGCTTGAAAACATTCCTGTTGTATTTGAATGAATCCACACATTCTCCACATACTTAAATTTCCATCCCCTTTAGTATAATTTTTAAATGCTTCTGAAATTAGGAAGTTAGATCTTGCTGTTAAGAAAAGGTTGACTGAAAAGGTATTGTGTTCATTTCAAATCCTGATGAATGGCAGGGGATTATAAGTCGGTGTGAATTTTAGTGTCTGAACAGATCATCAAGAAACAGCTTACTCACAGACTTAGTGTATGAAGGCCAAAATGTTATTTATGTGACATGAATATATCTCTAGTCTATAGACAGACTAGAGATATTGAAATAGTAATAAATGTAGTTATTTTACCTATAATGGCAGTTCTGGAGAGTTCAAGGCAAAGATAGGAAAATTATTTTAAAAGTAGTAACAACTATGTTAGAATGGTAACTCTTATACATGCTTTTAGTTTGATAGCTATACAAGAAGAAATCTAAAAGCACATCAGACAAAGGTAGACTTTGCCTGGTTTTTGGTGCCTCACATTCATTTGGCCTTTTAAACAGCACTCTCACTTTTCCCCCATGAGTTGACCACTTCATCATCATTGATTGTTGGGATAAAACAAGTATTTCCCTTTCCCTGGCTACAGCGTGTACAAATAGCACTGGCTATATCCTTTTTTCTTCTGTTCTGAGATTTGAATCAAGATCCAAGAAACAAAGAGCCTGAAGTAGTTTGATATCCTTTTTTGATGTTGTTAAGTTTTTTCAGTTCATGTTTAGTTCAGGGGCCTCTTTGAGCTTGGGAGGATGAAGATTATACCCCTTCTTCCCATTTCTGGAGGCACAGAACTCTCCCCAGCCTTTGGGGCTCCCTTTATTGATAACTAGAATTGGCTGGAATCAGCCAATGAAATGCTGTAAGGAATATTCTTATCTAGATCAATTATTTTACTAAATAGGGATTTTAAGGATATTGAATAGCCCTACAAAGCCAGCACAGACTGATGGTAGGGAGGTCATACTGACAGAGTAGCCCTGAAGAGTCTGCTATTGACTAGTACATAGACTAAATCCTTAGTCAAATATTTGTGCACCTATTATATGGTGCTGAAAGATACATAATAAACAAAACAGGATTCTCATCTTTCAGTAATTTTATCTAAATTTTAAAGACAATATCCACAAACATGAGCACATTTGAAAACCATAAGGTAGTTTATGAATAAGCATCTAAAAAACTGTTACTATTGTATAGATGAAGTCCACCATACATTTGCGTACAAACATTTGTCACCTGGTTAACTTTAGATGTCTCACAAAAGCTTCATACATTTTATTTTAATCTTGAAACAATATTTTAGTTTATAAATGACAAAAGTAGTGAGGACAGAATCTATCAAGCTTATTTTTTTCATATTTTCAATTTCTGGAATTCTGACAATGAGAAAAGAAAACAATTTTGGCTCATAGTAGCAGCAGTGGAAATCATAAAAAATAATATTAAAAATAGTAGCTAACAACTGTTGGTATTTACAGCATTGTTCTTAGACAGTGCCTGAAAGAAAGCACACGTTAAATAAATATGGTCTCTGAGGTTCTATTTATGTTGTTCAATCCTGAGAACAATATTGTGAGGTAGATACCATAATTCTTCACATTGAAGTCCAGCAAATTTAGAGGTTTTAAAAGATGATTCAGTTAGTAAGTTAATAAGTACTTCTAGAATTCATACCTAGGCTTTTCTGAATCCAGAATGTGTACTTTTATTATTGTGCTATTATGTGCTTCACGTATATGGGATCCAAAAAGAAACTTGAAAGATGAATAACATTTAGGAAAACGGGACAATAAGACTTTACAGAGATGTTAATCTCTACATGATTTCCCACTGGCTGGCCCTTAAAAAGTATTCAATTAATGTGTACTGAATTAAATTAATGCATAGCTTCACATCAAAATATGGCATGTGTTGGGTTCAACTCAATAGTGTCATATGGAAAAAGAAGTTGTAGAAACTTCAGAAATGGGATTTTACAATATTTTTTATCAAATGTTCTAGGTAATACTAAAGTTCGTGAAGATTTTGTGTTTTTCATGCTTTTTTTTTCCCCTGTTCTCCATTTTTTTTTGTGCACATAACCTTTTGAAATCAAGCAAAACCATGTGATTTGCTTCAATGAATTGGATGTTTGTAAACTCCTGGGAAGAAGTGTTTAAGTGCTGGTGGTCATTTTTTCACGTTATCTTCCTGTGCCACCACCATCTGGGCACCATGAGTTCAAATAGAGATGCCATAAGCTTGAAATAGATTTTAATGGTGAATATTCATTTAGAGCACAAAAGCCCTGAAGAGTTGCCTGGACCTAATGCAGAATTCATATGCATGAGAAGTAAAGTTTTATTTTGCTAAACTACTGAGACGTTAGCATTGTTTCTTACCCTAGCATGATTAGATTCTCCCATTTAATGTAATATACTAGAATGTAGTTTTAGAAAATCCTTAAAGAATGCTTGCACATGGCCTTATACATATTTTTTAATGACAAATGCTAACCCACTTATTCACACAGATTAAAATGAAATAGCTTTTGATACCAGTTATTTCTATTCTGTTCTCTTGGATTTTTTGTTTTATAGGGAGTGTTCTGCATATTGCCATGGTGCCTGACTCTTTTTTTGCTAATCAGCTATGAAAATGTACTCCTGATAAAGCAAGAGGAACTTGCTTTGGGATTTTTTTTTTGCAATTGGTTTGCTTGGTAGATTAACACAAGTGTGTAATGTATTGTATGAAGTACTTTTCAAACTTTGAGAAGGGGGATAGATCTTTTTCTTATATATCCTTAGTTTTATGCATTTTAAAAATGAATAATGAATATTATTGTAAAATAAGGCTACAGCTTCCCAATTCTCCTTAACTTTCTGGAAGCATTGAAACACTCCATTTTAGAACACCACGAATTTCTACCATTAAAATGTGAAATTTCTCTTCTTCAAGAAGTGTATTAAGGTAGAGTAGGAGATGAACATTGTCTTTTTTCTTCCTTTCTGAGACAATCAGGATTTTGTCAACAAAATGTTTTGCTCAGTCCCAGGAGAGTAATCATGATAGATTAAAGCCAGTCATCTCCATCTCACTTCCCTATTAAGGCACTTGCATTCCCAACTGCCCTGTGCTAATACAGGACACCTTTTAAGAAACTAGATGCAAATAAGAAAAATATTTTGATTTCAAATAAAAGATTCTGGAGAATGAGAAAAGCTAGCTTATGCTATTCCTGTGCAACAGCCATCCAACAATATGCTAAGAAGTCTCATCAGATCCAAAAGCCAGTGCCATTAGGGTAGTGGAGCATAAGGGAAAAGCTGGTGAAAGCAATGAACTGATGGACCACAAGACCAAAGGTTTAACTGTATATCTTGAAGTTTTCGATGTATGACATCATTAGTGATTTTTTGCTTTAGCCAGTTCGTGAATTTTTAATTACTTGCATGAGAAATGTGTTCTGTCTCACAGAACTAGACTCTGAGCTTCTAGTCACAGAGGAGGGCTGAAACTACTCTTGTTCTATCACTGATGCTCAGTATGGTGCCTGACACATGGTTGATGTTGATGCTCATTAAATATTTGTTGTATGAGGGGTTTACAAATGAGTGTTTGCTTCATATTTTGTTATTTTTATGTAATTCATATGTTTTGTTAATATTAGTGCATGTATGAACAATTTATATGCCCAAGTCCCCCTGTTATTTTCCTCCCTACTTAGGAAAACATTTTTTTAAATGTACTTTAAGTTCTGGGATACATGTGCAGAATGTGCAGGTTTGTTACATAGTTACATATGTGTCATGCTGGTTTGCTGTATCCATCACCCCGTCATCTACATTAGCTATTTCTCCTAATACTATCCCTCCCCCAGCCCCCATGCCCAAACAGGCCCTGATGTGCGACATTCCCCTCCCTGTGTCCATGTGTTCTCATTGTTCAGCTCCCGCTTTTGAGTAAAAACATGCGGTGTTTGGATTTCTGTTCTTGTGTTTGCTGAGAATGGTTTCCAGCTTCATCTACATCCCGCAAAGGACATGTCATCCTTTTTTATGGCTGCATAGTATTTGATGGTGTATATGTGCCACATTTTTTTATTCAGTCTATCATTGATGGACACTTTGGTTGGTTCCAAATCTTTGCTGTTGTGAACGGTGCTGCAATAAACACGTGTGCATGTGCCTTTATAATATAATTATATATAATCCTTTGTGTATATACCCAGTAATAGGATTGCTGGGTCATATGGTATTTCTAGTTCTAGATCCTTGAGGAATCGCCACACTGTTTTCCACAATGGTTAAACTAATTTACACTCCCACCAACAGTGTAAAACCATCCTTATTTCTCCACATCCTCTCCAGCATCTGTTCTCTCCTGACTTGTTAATGATCACCATTCTAACTGGCGTGAACTGGCATCTCATTGTGGTTTTGATTTGCATTTCTCTAATGACCGAAAACCATAAAAACTCTAGAAGACCTAGGCAATACCATTCAGGGCATAGGCATGGGCAAGGACTTCATGATTAAACACCAAGAGCAATGGCAACAAATGCCAAAATAGACAAATGGGATCTAATTAAAGAGCTTCTGCACAGCAAAAGAAACTATCATTAGAATGAACAGGAAGCCTACAGAATGGGACAAAATTTTTGCAATCTACCCGCCTGACAAAGGGCTAATATCCAGAATCTACAAAGAACTTGAACAGATCTACAAGAAAAAAACAACCCCATCAGAAAGTGGTCAAAGCCTATGAACAGACACTTCTCACCAATAGACATTTATGAAGGCAACAAACACATGAAAGGCGAACATTTTTAACATTGATTCAGAAATAAAACAAAGTAACCTCTTCAAAGTCAGTCAATTATCTTTTCTTTTTTAAATTCTTCATACTTATTTTTTGAAGGAACCTAATAAATTATTAATATTTCTAGTTGATGACAATAATAATTATTTTGGTAGAACAGTAGATTTGAGCTTGTGAAATTTGTGACTAAAAGCAATTTTCAAAAACAATAAGTAGAACCCCTGCTTTATCTGGTTCTACCTCATTTAAGGGTAGAATTCATAGGAATATATTTGATACTATTTAATTATCAAGACCAGTGAATATAAGGCCACTGACATATACTCAGGGAATATATTAGATGGAAAAGTGTCATTCTGGGATCTGGGATAGAATTTGATTAACCCAGCCGACCCACAGGGCTCTACTCATCAAATTCTTCATCTGTTGAGTTCTATGCAGAATTATGGTCCTGAATACTCCTTGTCCACCTAATTTGATTTGATTCCTTTTTTTCCTAGAGCTTCATCACCTTCAAGAATGTTCCTGATTTATCCAGTCTGTTTATTTCTCTCCTCTAACACCCTTCAGTGATAAAGGACTCCTTGTTTTAGTTACTTGACATTCAGGGCAATTTCTGTATTCTTGGATTCTTTGCTTTAGAGCACACTTGGAAATGCTAAAAGAGTATTATAAGTGACTTAGGAAAGCATTAGTTTAATCACGTTCTGAATCTTGCTCATGTCAGTCCTCAGTTATCTAAAAATTAAAATGTTGGCCTGATAGTTCTTTCCTAAATTGGCTTGTTGTAGAAATTAAAACGCTTTAACAAAATTATCTCAGATTAATAATCTGTTCTAAAAATTTCATGCTGATAAAAATATTGACAATATAGCAAAAAATAAAAATGTGAAAAATACTGTATGCAAAATGAGATTCTTTATTCTTTAACCTAATTAAAATGGAATCATAGTAGACTGGCAAATTGTGGGTTTTTGAGTTAGTGCTTCTAGATTAAATTGCAAGCTCTGAAATTACTAGATGAGGAATTTCTTAAGTAACACTACTTTAAATATTTGCCTCAATTGTCCTAGTGTTAATTTGCAGTTTGTCAGTGTGTTAGTCAGGGTTCTCTAGAGGGACATAACTATTAGGATATATGTATAAATGAAAGGGAGTTTATTAAGGAGAATTGGCTCACAGGATCACAAGGTGAAGTCTCGTGATAGGCCCTCTGCAAGCTGAGGAGCAGGGAAGCCAGGAGTGGCTCAGGCTGAGTTCCAAAACCTCAAAAGTAGGGAAGCAGCCACCAGTCTGTGGCCCAAAGCCTGAGAGCCCTTGAAAAACTACGGGTTTAAGTCCATGAGTCCAAAAGCCAAAGAACCTGGAGTCTGATGTTCAAGGGCAGGGAGCATCCAGCACAGGGAAAAGATGAAAGCCAGAAGATTCAGCAAATCATCTCATTCCACCTTCTTCTGCCTGCTTTTTCCAGCTGCGCTGACAGCTGATTGAATGGTGCCCACCCAGATTGAGGATGGGTCTGCCTCTTCCAGTCCACTGACTCAAATGTTAATCCCCTCTGGCAATACCCTCACAGACACAACCAGAAACAATACTTTGCATCCTTCAATCCAATCAAGTTGACACAATATTAACTATCACAGCTAATCAAGTATTTTCAAAACTCTATTAGTTGAACACTTCATGGGATAAAATGTAGGATTTTAAGGTGAATGCCTTTGTATATTTACTATTTTCTTTCTGGTAAGGTATGGTGCAGAATAATCAAATATAGCTAATTGTTTCAGAAAAATTTCTTTAAAATTTGTATTAATAGCAATTTTTAAGTATATGTAGTTAGTACCACTCAACATTTGTTTATAGCTGAAATAAGATGTATAATTTATTGCCTTAAATCTTAGTATAAGAGAAGGTTTAAAAATTAGCCTTTTAAGCAGTTAGCCTCATTTATTAGTGACATTGCATAAGATACCTTAATAATTAGAATGTCCTGGAAGAATGTTGCAGGGAATATAGGTTTGTTTTCTTTCAGTGTGAATTTAAACACAATCCCTGGAAAATCTGTAAAATCTTTTCCTCTCTCACCAGCACAGTGTTCTGGAGTGAGGCAAGGAGGAAATATTTCTAAGTATAATTTTATTTTATCTGTATGAGTTAAGGATAAGTTATATTGAGAGCTTAAAATGTTATGAAAAGATAAGCTTTATGAGGCATACCTCATAAAAATGGATAAAATTTGTGATATCAAAAATGAAATGTACATAAATCTTGGGCTTTCTCTTCTTGACATTTTCTTGGATATAAATGTGTAAGAAGTTAGAGCCTGGAATTCATAAGCAAACATTCTGCTCTCCAGAATTATGCTGTTCTTCTAAACTGGTAAAAGTCACATCTCCAAATATTTTCAGGCTATTTTTTTTTTGCCAAATTAATTACATTTTATTTATATCCTCAGTACTTTTCAATCAATTGTTGCTACAGGAAACTCTTAAATGTATTAAAACTTGTCTCAGCTGTGGAAAAATAATGATTAATTGCTTTGACATCTTGAAATGAAAAATGGGAAAATGTCCCCATTCCAAGGAATGTCTTACACAATTCTTACAGAATTTTTTCTTCATTACAATTTAACAATTGACCAAAAAGTCATTTTGTTGATTTTGGCTAAAGATTTATCAGCTTGTGCAATGGTAATGAGAGTACACAATTCCATTATCCACTGCTATCAGTGTAAAACTGTTATCTTAAACTTCAAAGGACATTTTAATTTCTGGCAATGAAAACATCAGTAAACAGAACATTTTTCTGATTAAAAGGTTTTTGCTGTTCTGTTTCTTTTCCTGTGTGCCATTTGCTGCTTAGGAAAACACAGTGATTTTAAAACTACTATTCAAATAAACTTTTGGGTCAAATAAAATTATCCAATATACATTTTTCCAAGACCTAAATTTAAGTAATAGAGGCGTCCATATAACCAAAGAGATGCTCACCTATTCCACGCAATAAAACTCAGATACTGCCCTTGAAAAAGAACTCACATTTTCTCACTAAATACCTTATTTACTCTGGCTTATTTATAATTCTAAAAATCATGGTTTTCTGGTTGTTCTTAATTAAATACGTAGGATTGTGATCTGGCATATCAATAAAATAAAATGATTGTCAATGACCTGGCAACAAGAGAAATGATAAAACAATTAAGATACATGTATGTAAAGAGTAATATATACTTTAAAGCATATGCATGTGTATTTATGTGTATTTATATGTACTTAAATACAATATACACATATATTTCTATATATATACATATATGCAAATCTGGTGATATTAAATATCCAGGAAATTAAATATGCAAACCTTAAAGACATGGAGGATTTCACTGTACAATGTATAATTCATTATAAGTTATTCTAATGAAAGTTATTGGAGGTCATTTTGGTATTTAGTTATATGGGACTACTGAAAGACTCAAATAACTAGAATGGACATTTATTACTTATTCCATTAGGAAGTTCTGTTGACATTTGAAAAATTCTTTTAATGACTTATCAAAGTGTTATGGGCAATACAATTTTTTTCTTCACTTTCATTATTTCCATCTAATGTTGCTGCCATCATTTTCTTCATTATTATCACCATCAATGTATATATGCATGCACGTGTGTTTGTGTGTCTGCATGTATACATGTAAATGAATGTAGAGATTCCATCGATTACAAATCTCAAATTCTTCACCCCCATTACACCACATATGTCCTTTGTACACGCACATGCACACACACACACACACACACGTGACTAGGAAACTTATGTCATAACCAAAAGTATTTGTCAACGACAATATCTGGTTAGAGGCTTACTTTATAATGGAACATATGTAAGTCAAGGAAATACTATACCAATAAAATCAAATAGTCATGTTTTATTTTCAAAGAAAATATTACAGAAAAGATTCTATAACTTGTTAAAAAATAAGACAATGAAAATTATAATGAAACACATTTGATTCTAATTTATAAATTGCTACTTAGCTATAGTTACATTAACTTTAATCAATCAACTTCTACAGTGCAACAGATAAGAGTAAGAAGATAGGACGCCAAGGAAAATAGTTTCCATTTTTG